ATAATATATATATATATATATATATACGCGAGAGGTAGAGAAATTTCGTGCGTGTTCGTATATAGGTGTGTGTAAGCGTGCATGCGCGTGTGCTGCGTGTCTGCTGCATCTGCGTGTTAAATGTTGTTAAAACAGGAGGGGTAAAGAGGTAGAGAAGTCACGTAAAAGAAAAAAAGAAAAGAAAGAAAAAAAAAAAAAGACGAACAACCAATTTCTCGTGGTAACCTGTGCGCGAATGAGTGTATTCATCACGATTCGCTCGACTCGTACGTGGAACGAGCGAGGGAAGGCGATAAAAAGGCGTATTATTGAAGAGAGAAACGGCGATAATCACAGATTGCAGACAGATTTCCTTCTTCCTCGCCCACCTGGCCGATTTGGAATAAAAAAGAAAACGAAGAAAAATCGGTATATGGATTTTAGAAGGAGAAACGAATGCATCGTTTTTTTCTCGGTGCAGTGTTCTTTGTTAGATGAAAGATCGTTAACGGTTAGGAATCTCGAATGTTTCTATTCTGCTAGCCGGGAATAAAAGGATACGTATCGCTGTGGAAACAAGAGGTCGCCACCCTGTAATAACGTGCTTTCGGTGTAAATCGTTTTCAAATCGATTCTCGACAGGAAGGAAGAGAAACGAAAGGACGGATCGATCCTCCGTTGTTGCGTAATTTCTGCACATTTCGAAAGCTCTAAAGTTGCACGAGCGACTTGAGAAGAGAACTCGTAGCGAATTCGGCCGATTCGAAATTTTTCGAAATTGATCCACACATCGATTTAGAGACACATATCTCTCCTTTGCTCCGCGCACATATCAAAACATATATTTCGATCGCGTTCGTACAAATTAGAAATAACATCGTGTGAACGTGTGAAAGTAATAGATTAACACTTGGGAATAATGTATTCTGTCAATGTACAGGGAGAGGAGAAATCTCTGTAGGAAAACTGCCAACCTGCTGACGCGACAGTTTTAAATCTATCGAAGACACTTCCATACGACATCGTAGACACGGTAGATGTCACTGCCGAACGAAAGCGCCTACTAGAGAAAGAAAATAATTTACGTCGAGAAAAGTCGAGCAGAGGATAAATATAAAAAAAATATGCGATCCGATATATATATAAAGGAGGCGCGCACGATCATCGGATGTTGTACCGTTCTAGTTTCTAAGTACGTGCGTGTTGCAACGATATCTAAACGCCATATCAATATCTGTCTGCGCGTATCATCTGCGTGTAACGATAAATTAAAAAAAAAAACGGTGTAGATGACCGAACTACGATGAAGAGTGATGCGACACTCGCATTTTCATATATTATTTTGTCAATCCATCCCCTCGATCGAGAATGAAACCTGTCCCCTCTTTGCTCGTTGGAGGAGGAAAGGGTTCGTTCGTCGCTTTCTCGAAACGTGTGAATTTTTGGTGTGACGTAACGTTAACGCAATAAGAGGATATGGAAATCGGAGTGGGCGCATCGTACGTTAAAATTTAAAATACGAAGCAATAGAGATGGCTGCTCGATACGCGTGATATACGCGATCGGGATTTTCGGTCGAGGCGAGTCGATAGTTCATAGCAATTATTGTATAACGATAGTAGTACTATACGTGTCGGATCGAGCATCACGCGATCGAGCAGCCGGAACACCGATTTGAAGAGCGAAACTTGGGAAACTTTGAGCCGCTTGGTAAATTTCAGTGACTAAAAAAAAAAAAAGAGAAGAAAAAAAATAGAAAAAAAAAATACAAGAAAGAAAACACTAATTATATCCATAACTATCCTATATACCTAAAACCAAAAAAAACAAAAACAAAAAAAACAAAAAAAAAAAGATAACCAAAGCATTGTAACCTTCTAGAGGCAAAGAAGAAATAGAGAAGTACCTAATCTTGTATGGTTTAGTTCGACCACTGATTTGTCCGTGTGTGTTCGTTATTGAAATATGTTTCTTTAGTAAAAAAATGCTTAAAAATCTAAAACCTGACTATTTACTATTTTCCCTTTGTATCCAATTGTTGGTCAGTTAATCCTTTGAGGTAGGGGCAATAACAAGCAAGAGAGATATGGGTGCGAGTCAATAGAGTAAGTACTTCAAAGAAATGTTTCAAGAGGTTTGTTCCATTTTAGTTACGACCGATTTGATGTTCACTAAACTCGAATTATTCTTAAAATCGTGTTTCTAAGGAAATGAGTCAAAATATATATTATTAATGATAATTAAGAAGGAAAAATTTTCAATATTTTGCAATAATTCATTTGCTGAAATTCATATTCCTGATTGTTCGATATTCAATATATTCCGTGCATAAAATTCGTTTTCCATTGGACTATTATTTATGTTCTCGATGAGAATTATATCCGTATAATATTTCAAAGTGAGAGGAAAAATTTGTAATTACAAAACTATCGTGAATCTGGGCATTATTGGTACATATAAGCATGGAAAGGTAAGGAAACGCGTATTGATCGTAGATAACGATGTATAAATTCCAAGTCCCTTTTAGAAATCACGAATTATAAGGGCAATGCCTGCAGGCGATAGCCGGTAAGATACCTATATCGGATAAAAGTAAATCTGATATCTTATACATTGGAACTGGATATTTGCCACTGCAAATAACTTTTAACGGTATTTTAACACTATATTTGGTGAAATCGATACCTCGAATAAAGTAAAATTATGGAGAAACGTAATATTATTATTATCATCAGCGTGAATCTTATTTTTACTTTAATAATATATTCGTAACACAAATTTACGTGTATAAATATTATACAATATTGATAATACAAAAGATTTAAAAAAATCCATAATAATTATAATAGAATTTTACTTACCATTCGAATAAAAAAAAGATAAAAAATGGAAAAATTACTTTTCGTTGTTAAATATAATTTTGTAATTAAAAATATTCGTTCCAAAAATAATTTTTCATATAATTTTTTTATATTTTTTTAATAAAACTATAACACGTAATTATGGTTTTAAAATTAAATTTACTTATTGACCAATAAATTCTCAAAATAACGTTACTATATAATTTTCGCATAATTATCAGTAAGCGAAGAAAAAAAAATTATATTCGTAAAATCATACAAAAAAAAAATAATCCGTAAAAGGAATATAGAAATCGTTTTAAAATTCTAATAAATATTACAAGTTACCTGATCCGAGGAGCGAAGAAAATTCGACGAAATTATAATCCATCATAATCCTTCGATCAAAATATTAGGGTAGCGTAACCGATAGAAGCCACGAAGGTGAAGGTGGGGGGATGCTCAAAGACTTGTCTCGGTGGTAGCTCAACACTTCGGTTCAGTTCGCTCGCGGCGCTCGCACGGTTCGTGTTTCTTGTCGTTACGTCCTGCTTTCCTTTTCGAACGATTTCGTGGTCACAACCGTCACTCGAAAGGGACCCGTTTCGTATATACGTGCGCGTGTGCATGCACATCGAACTATTTACCACACAGAAAATAAATACGAAAAGATTCACACAAGAATCAACACACGGAATACCATCTTTACGTACGAGTGAAAAGTATAGTTTCGAAAATGGCGGGAGAGAGAGATAAAGAAGTACCTTAACCTGTCACGGTGCAACAAGTGAACGCCGTCACGTGGAAAAACGAATTCTTCGGTGTATCGACGATTGTTGAAAGTTTCGCGAATGGTGTGTCACTTCGATAAAGGTTGAACGTATCTGTGTTTTTCGATTCCATCACGTTAATATTCCTTCGTGTTACGACGCGCGAAACGACTTCGTTACCACTACTTCGAGCGCCCGGCGTATTTCGATAATCGAATCTATCGATCGATCATTCTCGGTGTCTGGCGTCGCGAGACTTCTCTTCGCGGTGTGTGATCGCGTTCGAATATCTCGATTACGTGTTAAACGCGAAAAATGAACGTCGATTCGAACGATTCGAGCTCGCGAGTGATCGACCCGTGCGAACGGAAATGATATCCGCGTGTCGATGGAAACAAGACACGAGGATAAAAGTGCGAATGATCCGCGGCGATTGTAACGAATGTCGAGTGTCGTTGTGATCGGTGTGACCCACGATTCAATTCCAACGGCGAAGACTAGTTAAGAATTTCGTTGCTTTCTCTTTGATTTATGACTCGCGTGTGCGTGAATGGTTGTCTTTGTTCGTCGATATCGCGAATTGCGAATATTCTCGTGAATCATGGCTGTTCGAATGCATCGCTCTTCTTTAATGTTACGAAGCTTCTTCTTTCTCTTGTTGCTCCTGTGGAATCTGAATGTCGCGCATGCTGCTCGTGGATTTAGACACAACACGAGGCACGGTGAGTCTTTTCGCTTGTGTTATATTTTTATTTTTATTTTTTCTGTTTTCCTGGAATCGAGTAAACATCAATCTGGCTAGCGTTTAGCATTTAGGATATATTGAATTGTTCGTAATTATATTGCGAACGTTATAGTGTGATAATAATATGCCAGTAAATTATTATTTATTTATTTATCAGAATATTATATATATGTAATATCATATAGATAAATTTCTATTTAAACCTCATCTTTTTAGCAAAATTTGCAAAAGTATTTGCAATCTATATAATTATATATTATACATTCTCATAATTATATATCATTTTATTCGATATCAACAACAATTCGAAATTCCATCGTAAATTACCGCTTTTATCGAATATCGCAATATATTTCTGCAATTCTTTGTGCAATACACAAATTACGATACAAAAATTATTCTTTTTATCTTTTTATTTATAACGTGTTACTTGCAATAACATTGATATCGTTCTCATTCTCGTCGAATTTAATTTTCAGAACGAAGTAGCTTTAAATTGGTATCATTAATTTCGCACGATAACGATAAATTACAACCTTTTATTAGTTTGAGAAATTTTCACATACGTGAAATAATCGCGCTAGGTGGTCCACCTTGTTGTTGTAAATCTTGATATTCATGTATATCTATGCAAAAGTTAAATATTACGCGTTATTTATTTATGATTTTCACTCTGTTCAAATATACCTGAGCAAATTGAAATTTACTAGCTACTTGAGATTCTGGTAATATCTCGTTTAGCATATTTGCCTACTGCAAATATCCATAAATAACCATTTCTGGTAAAAATGTTCAAAGTGCATATACCGGCAAAAGGTGAACGAACTTATCACTCAATCCAATACGTTTTCGGCAGATTGCTATATAGACCAACGACGTGACTCGAAGTTATTTGCATAACAGAGATTTGCATAACACGTAAGGCACATAATGCACATGAACGGATTGCCGTTTATTCGTAATGTCTCAGATGTTATGCAGATTCCAAGAGTGCAACGCCACTCGAACAGATCAAGATAGAAGGTTTTTATTGGTGCCGGGCAAAATCGCTCCTTCGAAACGTATTTGCGCTCGTTCCTTTCAACTCGTGCGTGCGTCTCGTTACGCGAAAGTGTAATTTTTTATAGCCGACGCGACAGTTTTACGTGCTATTTCCCGAAGCGCACATGCGTGTAGGCTTTTATTCGATTCCTGCTGTTATTCCTACGAGAATACATTTTAAAACTTACTCTTTATTTATCCATCTAAATTTATACACGCTTGACGAAGTACCTTTCTAAATCTTGGCATTTTTTTCCCAATCCAAAATTCAATCTCGACTCTACGCGTAATACAACGTTTTTTAGAATGTTTAATTTTTCCCCTTTCGGTTGATAATAATTTTAATTTTTCCCTTTGCCCTCCCTATTGTAGAGGTAATCAATTCCACGAAATCTTGAACCCTTGATCTTCTAAACATCCACCGAATCGTTTCTGTCGTAATATCCGTAATAACTTCCGCAGCTTCCCCCTTTAATTGAAGCCTTCAACGACTCCTCTCCCGACCAACATCTGCCTCGTTCGGACGAAGCTGCTGCCTCGTAGTCCCTTTTTTTAGGGTCCAGATTTCAAGGTATATCGGTACACCGAATCTCTCGACCGAATTAGGCTAAAAACGTGGAAGGCGGTCTTTTTTTCCACACAAGATGGATTAGAATTTTTTAAAATTTTACTCTTCTTATAAATTTTTAACGTCTTATCTTTCGCGATAACCAATTTTGTATATATACAATAGCTAATATCGCCTTGAGTATTTCTAATTCTAGAAATCGGGCGTTGAAGTTGGCCGAAGAATGCTCGCGGTGTGGTCTTTTTAAAATATGAGTGAAAATTTAGACGAATCAGAACGACCTCGTAAAACACGCGTCTGCTCCAAAAATATTAAGTGTCAGGATATTCCGCCACCTCCCAGCACTTCGCTTTATATTTAGCGGCAACCGCATCGAATCGGATGCTTACATCCGACGCTTAAAGTGATCGAAGACGAAGTTTATCGATCGTTTTCCGCTCGGCGACGATACAAGAATAATCGAATAAGAAACATTGGACGCCAATGAGAACCTCGTGGACGTTGGTTAGAAAAAAAAAAAATTAGACAAACGTCGAATGCCGCGATAAAATTCTTCTATTTCCAAGAATCACTTTCTTTCTTTCTCACTTTTGCGCAGAGAACTTGATCGAGAATTGCATGTAATTAATGTTACTTCATAAACACGAGAAACGCGTAGTAACAACCGATGCTCGACGTTCATAAAGCTTACACGCAATTCTAATCAAATTACGATCCTGTTATGTCCAATGAATTCGTGAAATACGATCCGAATCTTAAATATCTTATTCGTCAGACTTGTGCTCTTCTCGTGCTATTTTCCTATCCTATCCTTAAATTTACGTAACGTTTCCTCTAGTCTTCTGATATACTGTTACAAATCGTGAAATGAAACGTGTAATAAATTATAGCTTAATAACGAACGAAATTAGAAAATTCGAAATAATATATAACAATGGAATCGATTAAATTCGAATCATTCGTTACTTCTCCATTTCTTTTTCTCAAAATCTCGAAAAGCAGCAGGCTTTTAGGCGAGATACAACCGCGTAACAATCGATAAATAAGAATAACGCTCGATAATTAACATTGAGCGAGGGGTTGGGGGTCGAGATCGATCGATCGCATACGCAACGACCGAGAGATCGGATCTTCGAGATATCGAGAGATCGAGCCGACACTCGTCGGCCCGCCCATGTATCGCTTCCTGTTTCTCTAATCGGGCCGATCGTTTCTCTTTACACCCGACATTAATGCCTAACCAGCGGCCCATGCATAATTGCGTATCTTTCGTCGTGTTATTATTATTATTATTATTATTATTATTATTATTATTATTATTATTGTTATTATTATTATTATTATTATTATTACCATTATTATTCACGCGGCAGACGATTGGCGGAGGTGCGAGGTAACGAGACTCTTCCTCGTGGAGAGTAAAAAAAAGTGATTGAGAGACGTGGCGATCGCTTTAATGGAATAAAGATGATCTTCGACTTTTCTCTTCCCCTACCCCTTCCTCGTTTATCAATCAATTGATTGGAATGAAATTGGTAAATTTTGGTAAAGCTAAACGGATCGATTAAATCGAATAATATCGGGAAACGGGATTACTTAATAATATTCCAGAATTAGATTCACAAGTGATTCCATCACTGCCCAATTAATATTCTATTAGTAACATTTGTAACAAGCGAGGTTATCGAGAAACGTTATTCTTATCGACGAAAATGATACTATTAGCCTTATAACCTTGCGTCATCTCGCTCTCTAATTTGTTTTTCCCCGCAAATTATTAATCACGCGATACGATAATTTTTCTTTGACGAAAATTTTGCTTTTGTTTTTTAATCGAAAAGAAAGAAAGAAACTCTTAATTACGGACAAAATAAACGTATTAACGCAACTTGGAAGTAGGTTAATGGCACTGCATCGTACATCATCGCGGCTCTCTTCGTTTTATTACTCTCGTATTGTTCAACGTGTTGTCATTACGATATCCACAAGATGGCTCGTAATTTTCTTCTGTTTACGATCGAAGTCTGATTATAATTGATTTAAAGAAAAAAAATTTCGAATCTTCGTCGAGCAAATCGGTCGGATTGAAAAGTTAATCGAATTGAAAGAAAGAAAGAAAAATCGGTTTGGAGCGTGCGAAACGAATTTCAAACTTGAGTTCAAAATCATCGATCCTCTTCGACTCTTGGTAAGATAACAGTTTTACGACAAAGATACAACAAGCCTCTCTCGATAGAAAACGCCGCAATCTCGGGAACAAACGAGCGTTTACGTCGATTCGCCGGAGCGAACGATTAAATTTCATCATTTCGTCGAAATTAATTAAATTAACGATCCCTCTCTCAGAGAAACGTCGTTTAGATAGCGTTCTCGATATCTCGATCTTCGACCAAAACACATAGGCCGCGAATTTTTCATTCTATCCGTTCTACAAAACGCCAATCTTGTATATATATATGTATATATATCGGCGTTAGTTAATTGTTATTCTTTGCATTTATTCCTCGATACTTTACCCAATATAATGCGCGTACATTCGTTGAAAAGTGGCGCGGTACGATAAATACATTGAAATATTGCTTACGGTGCGGGTAAACGAGCTGATAGGAGGATAAAAGTTGAATGGGAGCTTGTTGTCTTTCGCGTTTTTTCACGATGTATACTCGACGTAAAATATTATCGAATCGATCGTTCGGAAAGGGGAGGAGAAGGATGTAGAAACGGAAAGGAATCAGAAAATTCGACGAACGTAATTTCGTAATTGGTCGCGTGAAACGAAGAGAATCAATTTTCAAGACAAGAGATTTCGATTCCAAGAAACGAAATTTATTCAAACTCGGCTCGTTTCCCATCATTCATCGTGGCAGAACGATTTCTATTCGCGAAAATAAGACGAAATCCTGCTATGAAAGACTCTGCTTCGGTTAAACGATCGGCTTAGAAGATCATATTTCAGAAGATTATCGACCTCTGATCGCTCTCATTCTCCATCTTCTAGAAACAGAGCATGGAATTACGTTTAACCGCGATCAAAATAAAAGCGCCGAATCCTCTGGTAATCCTCCGTTTCCTTCCAAGCGTGGCGTTGAACTGTGCCTCGAAATAATTTCATTCTCTCACAGTCGTCCTGCGTATCGTCCTCGTTTTCTTCTTGTTTAAATGCCGTCGCGGCGGCCATGCAAAGTAACACTGCTGGCGTGTACGTACGTGGCCGGAGTGGTCGAGGGTTCAGGGAGAGACTCGTGCCCTTTCCCCGTGTATTTAAGGGAATACCGAGCGTGGCTCGGCCGTGACAAGGGCGATCGCCTTGAACCTTTGCCCTTAGACCCTCCAACATCCCGCTCGAATCCAATCCACCTTCCAAGCGT